CATATGGAATTGCAAAGGATCCTGAATAGCCAAAATAATCTTGAAAAAGAAAAACAAAATTGGAGGACTCATACTTACCAATTTAAAAACTAATTACAAAGCTACAGAAATCAAAACACTGTGTTACTGATATAAATATATACATATAGATCAGCGTAGTACAATTCAGAATCCAGCAATACATTTGTATATATTTGGTCATTTGATATTTGACAAAGCTGCCAAGACCATTCAGTGGGAAAGCATAGTTTCTTCAACTAATGATTCTGGGACAACTGGATAGCAAGGGAATGAAATTTGGCCCACATACAAAAATTAACTCAAAATGGATCAAAGACCTCAACATAAGCGCTAAAACTATAAAACCCTTAAAAGAAAACATAGGGGTACGTGTTCATGATCTTGAGCTTGGTAATGGATTCTTAGATATGACAGCAAAGGTTTAAGTATCAAAGGGAAAAAATAGATATGTTGGACTTCATTAAAATTTTTTAAAAATTGTGTATCAAAGGACACTATCAAGAAAGTGAAAGGCAACCAACAGAATGGGAGAATATATTTTCAAATAGTATATCTGAATATGGTCTAGTATTCAGAATATATAAAGAATTCTTACAAATCAACAATTAAAAGGCAAACCACCAAATTCTAAAAAGTGCAAATTTCCACTTATAAAATAAGTAAGACACAGGGATACAATGAACAGCATAGAGAATATAGTTAATAATATGTAACAACTTTGTGTGGTGACAGATGGTAGCTAGATTTATGGTAGTGATCACTTCACAATGTGTAAAATATTAAATCAGTGTTTGTTTTATACCTGAAACTAATATGATATTGCATGTCAACTATGATTCAGTAAAAAATATGTGCAAAGTATCTGAATAAGCAGTTCTCCAAAGAAGGCAACAAATGGCTGATATGCAAATGAAAAGATACTAACATCATTAGTCGTTAAGGACATGCAAATTGTAACCATAATTAGTTACCACTTCATACCTACTAAGTTTGCTATAATAAAAAATAAAAAATAACAAGTTGGTGAGAATGTGAAGAAACTGCCACCCTCATACATTGCTGGTGAGAGTTTAAAATAGTGTAGCCACTTTAGGAAAGAGTTTGGCAGTTACTCAAAAAGTTAAACAAAGAGTGACTGTGTGACTCAGCAATTACATTATTAGTCATATAGTTAAAAGAATTTAACAAAAATGTCCACATGAAAATGTTTATATGATTGCTTATAGTAGTGTTATTCATAGAGGCCAAAAAGTAGAAATAACCCAAATGCCCATCAGCTGATGAATCGTAATAATATGTGTTAAATCCATCCAATGGAATATAATTTGGCAATAAATATAATAAACTACTGGTACATGTTACAGCGTGGATAAACTGAAAACATGCTAAGCGAAAGAAGCCAGATGTAAAAAGGCAGATATTACATGGTTCAATTTATGTGAAATACACAGAATAGGTAAATACACAAAGACAGAAAACAGATTAATGAATTTCAGGGGCTAGAGGAATGGGCAATGGGAGTGATGACTTAGTGGTTATGGGGTTGCCTTTTGGGGTGATTAAGATATTCTGAAATTAGATAGTGGTAATGGTTGCATGACCATCTGAACTACTGCATTGTATATTTTAATATGTTACATTTTTTAGTATATGAGGTATATCACAATAATAAAATATTTCACCAAAAGGTTGATGGAATTTCTTTAGGCTAAAAGGGAGGAAGAACATTGCAGGCAGAGGGAACAGCATTTTATATTTCAGGTGTGAAGAGAGATGTTAGAAGATAAGGTTGGATAAGAAGGCTGGATATAGATCAAGAAAGTTTAGGCTTTGTTCTTTGGTAGAAGGGTTCATGGTAAGAGAAAGTTTCTGAAGAAGGAAGTAAACACTTAACCGATCTAAATTTTGGGAAAATAATTCTAACAACAGTGTGGTGGGGTTTTTAAAGGTGAGGGAGTGGCATATTTTGTCTGTTCATTGACAAATATTCATTAAGTACCTCCATTGTGCCAGGTAGTTTGCTGGACCAGTCATCGATTTTATACCTGGTGACATAAAATAGAAACTCAATAAATGCTAAGTAAGTTGCTGTTTTGGTGAGGATGAATGGACATTGGGAGATCATTTAAAAGGTTTTGACATTGTTCAGAAAAAAGATGAAACTATGAGGGTATGGGAAAAGAAAGGAGGAGCTTAATAAGACAGCTGATTCAGTACTTGAATTCTCAGTACTTGGTGATAGTGATGATTATTGGAAAGGTGAAGGAGAAAAAGGAGTCAAAGATATTGAATCTTCTAACAAGTTTGAGAAACAGGTTTTGTGAGTATGAGGTAAGTTTAGTTTTAGACAAGCAAGTTCAGAAATGGAAGTGTCCAGGATAACTAGACATTGGTATCTAGCTCCTAAGAGAGAAATTAGGGGTAAAATGATTGATTTTGTAATCAAAAGTCCAGAGATGATATTTGAAGCCACAAAAGTGAATAAAATCATGTGATGAAATGCTATAGAGATACAGGAATAAAGGAATGAGAACTAAGTCATTGCAAACACTCCTAATCAAGGGTGAATGAAAAGACAGCAAAGGGATCTGAGAAGGATGAGTCAGATAGGTCTTAGGAGAACCATGACTTTTTCAAGTGGTTGAAAAAGCTTTGAGGAGGAAGAATATTCAACAGGATCAACTGCTACAGAGATGCTGAGGAGGATGCATATGAATGGAGAGGTCCTGAGTTTTGGTGATTTAGAGGTCAGTGATGACTACAGTTTACAAAGTTATGCTGTGGTGAATTGGGAGGGACAGCTTGGAAATTACCTTATTCAGAAGGTTGGTAGAGGCTATAGGAGAGAGATGGGGGGCAGAAGGAGAAAAAGATTTAAAAAATTACGTTAGTGATATATATATGTACACTAGGCTCACATATATACATTTGTACATATAAGTTTTCATGCATGCACGCATACTTACATACATATTAGGTTTAGGTAGAGAATGGATAAAGCAGAGAGTTGGAGTAGCTGAAGGTAAGAGCTCAAGTGGAGGGTTCACTGTGGAGAGAAGAAAGGCACATCTTACTCTGAGCCAAGGGGAAATGAGTAAGGAAATGTCAAGGCAGAGAGGGTAGTTGATAGAATTCACATCTGAGGGGGGCCTGGATCTTCTCTGAAAAGAAGGAAGTGACTTCATCTTCTGGGAACAGGGCTGTGAGCCTGAAGTAACATGGAAAATGTTCTGAACAGCTATTATGGAGTGGGACAAAGATAAGCAATTTGATTAACATACAGCATGGGAACAGGCAGTGCATGTCTCAGAGCATGAGATAAAGTGGAGCCAATGCATCTGATTTCTTCCTTTTCTTGTTTTCTTTTTGATGAGCAGAGCTCAGAAGTCCAAGAGTGTGAACAAAGACACCATCCCAGAACTGAAGAACAGTACAGAGGGTAAAGTAAGGGGATGAAGGGCTGAGAGCTATGTAGGTGAGAGATGAAATAGGGGACCAGACTCATGGAATCAGGTTGAGGTGGAGAAGGAACAGAGTGAAGGAAGTCAAGAGAGTAACTTGGCTCAGAGAGCAGGGAAGGGTGGAATACTGAGTACCTTCTCTGAGCTTCAGTTTCCTTATCTATCAGTAGGGGGGCAATGGTAAGCACTATGTAATAGCTTTGTTGCCTGTCAGCATGGGCTGTGATAAGGAATAGATAGGTTGATTGGTTGTGAGCGAATCTTGCCCATATAGGCTAGGAACTAACTCATGAAAGGTGAGAATGTTCAACTGTTCTTTTTATAAGGTATATATTCTTGGATTATCTGTCCATCGCTTGCCCTCTCTGCTTGACAAAATTGTAAGCTTTCAGAGAACTGGGTCAGTGTCAGTATAATTCTCTCAGAGGGAGTCTGCCTTGTTCACCTAAAAATTAAGATAAAAATCTACAGCATACACTTCTGCACTACCACTTAACTTTCCCAGCAAACATAGAAGTCTCAAACCAACATTGGTTTCCAAACCCAAGTGGTGAGAGCCACTTTCCTTATACAGAGCTGTCTTTAGAATACAGTTTTTTTGAGTGTCTCTGAGAATAATTCCCTAAAATCAATTAGTTCCCAACATGTTTTGGGTAATGGCAGGCTTGTTGGGATATGCGTCTTACCTCCCAAGGAGATCTTTTGGAAGGCAATAAGACTCATTTGGACATATCACTGCTGTGCTGCTCATTTAAACCCAAGCCTGCATGTTTTATGTACATAGTCTGTAGTGCTCCCAGGATAATGCTGTAAGAATTAGCCAGACTTTGATTAACCAGGGTTGATTTTCATTGAGACCTCAACCAGAAATGCATTTGGTTCTATGAAGAAGGGGGAAAATTTTAAAGAAACTATGTAGAGATCTGGGCTTTATTTCATAAAGAAAGACCAAACATAATCAAACAACAAAACAACAATAATGGAACCCCACCCTACAAAACAAAAAACAAACAGAAAAAATAAATAAAAAGGATTCCAACAGGTGTCCCAGAGGTAATATAGATTCAACCACAAGAGACAATTAGACTTTAGGAGAAGGCACAAAATCTGAGTGCAAATCTTGACTTGAACTTCCTAACTGAGTCCCTGGGCAAGTAGATTCCCCTTTTCGACACTCAGTTTCCTCTTCTGCTAAATGGCAGTAATGATAACTATTTCATGAGATAGTTGTGATTCAATGAGAAAATGTGTGTCAAGTTCTTGTGCACTGTATCTGGCAAATATGAGGTATGTAGTAAATGCCACTTTTCCCTTTACCATCTTCATCTACTTAGTCTACAACAGGGCAGGTATTGCCTCTAGCCCTATTATCCCCACTACAGAATATTTCTTTGTGATTGTACCACCCCCACTTCCAACCTCCACCAACCTCTCTTCTCTGGAATAAGGGCACTATACCAAGGTATATCTGGTGCAAGGTGGTCTGTTGAGATGCTCACCAGGAGAGAAGTTGCTCACCTTTAACCAAAAACTTCACAGTGTTGCTGTGCTGCTCAGAGCCTACCCGGCCCTTGGCAGTACAGAAATAGAAGCCTGAGTCAGCTACCACTGCATGCTTGAAGAGTAAGGTACTCAAGGCTGCTACTTTTATGGGTTCTTGATTGTTAGTCTGTTCCTTGTACCAGATGTATCTGATGGGAGGAGAACCCTGAGCTTGGCATTGAAGGCTAATCCTCATTCCCTGAGGCACTGTGAAACCATAGCCACTGCCAGTCGTCACTGTGGGTTTGGAAACAGAGACTGCAAAGGGAAGACAAGAGAAGAGGCTCTGAGAAGTTATAAGGATATGGGAACACAAGGCCTAGTCATCCCTACTGCATATAGGGGTACATATATATCTTCAGAGGAAACTAAAGGGACTTCTGACTTGTGAGGGAAGAAAAGAATAGGACAATATAAATAAAAGCAGCATCCTTTGGAAGATTGGGTACTATTTTGTATTACCTGGAGTTCTGGCTTACTGGGAGTTAAAAATCAACTGACTTTCAAAAATAATATAATTTCAAAGGCTTAAATAGTTTTGGGAATATCTGCAGTTTCAGATTACTGGGGCTAAATCATTGTAAAATTGCAAAGCTTATCTTGGCTAACCCCTGCATCCTTTTCCCCAGAGCTTCTCTGTCAGCATCTATCTACTCTCCAATATCCTGATCAGATATACTCATTTTCTATGAGTTTTAAGACACAGTCCAAGAAGGGAAAACAGGCTATGAATATTGAAATTTCTGGGACACGTGAAGGGGTAGAAATTTGAAGGCCAGGAACCTTCCTAATACTTCTAAAATTCTTCCTTGAAAGTGATGACCTTGAGGATCATCTTCCTGTCCTCTTCCTCTGATTAGCAAATATAACTAAATAGAAATTATTTACAGTTGAACAAACTTCTCTGTGTTTCTTGGGTGATCTAGGATTACAGTCTTCTATCAGGTCTTTGCCTATCACTGATGTGTATCCCCACAGTGACTTACGTTTCTGGACAAGGAGCTCAATGATCTTCTCTCTCACTACTTGGTTGCCATCAGGGGTCTGCCACATGACTTCACACATGTAGAGGCTGCGGTCATCCATCTCCAGGGTATTCAGTTGGAGGGACACATCTCCTGGAGCTTTGTGGTTCACATGTAGGCGGCCCCGGTACTTTGCTTGCTGTATATGGTCTCCAGAGGAGTCACGTAGGAAGATAGTGGTGACTGGTTCTGAGCCACGTTGTACCAGCCACTTTACCAAGACTTGGGTGTAGCCTTGCAGAGGACCATAGGTGCAGGGAATATTCACATTCCCTTTCCAAGGCCCTGTCACACTTTCAGGTGCTTCCAGGATGGGATGGCCTGAAGAGAGGGAACAGAGGAAGGAAGCAGACATAGATGGCACACCCAACTGGGAGCTAGGGTGGCAGTGGCAGGTTTCAAAAGGCTTCTGAAAAGCACCCTTCAATTTTCCTTCCATCATGCTTTTAGATTCCCTGTGCCCTTTTGTTCTCTGTCAGCCTTCTCATCAATCACAACCAATTCTCAGAAGGAGAGCCCTTAACATTGGTTAGCTTTCGTGAGTTCTTTTCCTTTCACTGTCTTGCTGTGAGGTGACACGGGGTAAGTTTTCCTTTCACAATGAAGGACCTATTTTCTTCATCTACAATGTAGAGTGCGGATAGAGTGATTTCTAATGATTTTGTAAACTGTGAGTTTGTAAATCAATAAAAATTCTGTAAGTCAATAAAAATACTTCTTTCAACACTTTCCAAAAGAGGTGTTGTAGCAAATGTTGAGCAGTTGGCTTTGGGCTATTTGATTGTAATTATGTACCTGGAGAAATGTGGGTTCTACAGGGCTCAGAAAGGGACATCTGCCCTGCTTATTCCCCATTTTTCACTTAGAAGAGCTCAATGTCCCCAGCCCTAAGTTTTACTCTGTAAGGGAGAAAGGAGACAGGTAAAGGGCAATATTAAGGATGAAACCTTGTGTGAGATGCATTCCTGTTTAACAATATCATTAGTTGTTAAATTTGACAACCACACTTTGTAAGCCTGTTTTTTTTTTCTGATTTCTCTCCTTTGTTTATTTATTTATTTATTTATTTGGTTTTTCTTAATTCTCAGCAAAAGTACATTGGAAAATTCCATCCTGAGGAGGAATGGAGAGGAAAAAGTCTGGAGAGGAAAAGGGTCTGAATTAAATCCTAGGGTTGGCTATGGTATGATGATGGGACCAAGATTGCTACTTTGGTGTTGTGGGGAAGGAAAACCAGGGAGAAAAGATGTAAGTGTTGACAGAGCCATTCCATTAGAAATTTCCATCCATAATCTCACATTTTAAGGATTTTGTGTTTTATTTAACTGGGACCAGGAGTGATGGACTGTATTTTAGATGATGTCTTTATGATATTTCTCCTAGAAGTGTGTGGGAGGGCTCAAAGTATGAGCTATTACTGAATACAAGCATTTCATGTAGCCCAGGATTCCCAGGCTTCAGTCAAGAAGATGGAAGATAGGGTAGGGGCATGATTTCTAGCTCTCAGAATGTATTGCCAGCTATCAGGGCTTCTATTAATGGGGAGACTAAATTCAAGCCTCTGGCCTATGCCCTCACCAGGGTCTCTTAGAACATCACCATAATATTGTGGTTAAGATAAAAGCCTTGAGTAGAAAATAATAGATATGAATCCATGTTGCTAGAGTCACCACATACTCTCTGGGGAGTTTCAGATGGGGCAGGAAGCAGAACTCAGACCCTTGAATGGGAGCACAATAAGGACAGATTTTGGTTTGCCCTAAAATTGAACTTTAATCAGCTGTCTATTGATACAGTAACCTGTTTAGGGCAAGTTCTGAGATTTATTTAGGTCTTGGACAGCATTATCCTTTACGTTCCCTTCCCATTCTAGATGGTTCAGTGCTAATAGACTCTAATGGAAACAAAAGTTCAGTAATTACATATTCCAGCTGGTTGTGAACTTTTATCAAGTGGTGCAGTTCTCTATGCTACTGATACTTCATCCCTCCATGTGGATGGCCCATACACTTGAAAGCACAAACATACCAGCCTTAAACCCCCTGAAAATCATCTGAGCCTTTCAGTTGAATGTACTCTTTTCTGCTAATCTTCCTCCAGCTCTCCCAAATCTCTTTCCCTTTCCCTAAAAAGCATTCTCACATCCTCCTCCTGGACAACAAAGAAGCATTCTGCTGTGAGGCAACAAAAGCCTTTATCAATGTGTATGTGTCTCTTCACTCTGACCTTGGGGGAGCTGCAAGGCCTGGATTGCATTACCCTTCCTGGGAACTTTCTGGGAATTCTCACAGCCTACTCTGGCCTGCCTGGACAGCCAGTCCCAATTTCTCAATCTCAAGAGTCACTTTTGGAAGTAGGAGAAATGTTTTATTAGTAGCATGAATACAGAGCATATGGTAGGCACAGGGAATCTCAAGAAAGAGGGCATTGTACTATTCCTCATCTTCTCTGATTTTCAAAGTGAAGGTAATCTCAATAGCCTTGACTTATACCTTCCAACGATCCCTGTGGTGCTCAGATAGCCTAGAGGAACATTGAGTAGGACATCTAGTAGGATCGGGAGGGTAGTGAAAGACTGCATGAGGTAGTAAGAAGAATAACATCAATCCAACTCCAAGTTTTGCCTTACCATATCTGTGGACCTTGGGTAAATTGCTAAACTCTCTGAGCTGCAGTCATTATCAGCAAAATTGAGGCAGTAGTAAACCTTCCATGGAAGGTTATTGTGAAGTTCAAATGAGTTCATAAGGCATGAAAGCACCTAGCATAAATAGCTGATATTCAGTAGGTGCTTGATAAATGCCAGTCCTATCCCATGTCTCAAGAGAAACTTCTCATATTTGTCTTGATTCTTCTTATTCTATAGAAGTCTTCAGTATGTCCTTTCCAGGGTGGACAGAGTCATTAGACTGGATCATTGTCATTTAATAATGAACTGAAGGAGAAGGTAGTACAAGAGAAAGTAAGGAGCTACCCTTTCCAGTCTGACAGAACTTATCAAATTATGGTAGGTAATAGGCCATTCCTAGGTTGTAGGACAGTCGAGGAGGACACAGTAGCCTGTACTTCCAACAACAGGTCTGGCTTGGCAGCCACTGTGAAATGTTGACCAAATTAAACAATACACCTGACTTTCCTGGAAGATTGGGTAGGGGAACTCCATTTTAGGAAAGTCCCACCTCTTGTGGGGATACTCTGCCCATCATGTATCCATGAACACCACCAAATGGTGAGGTACTTGATACAAGAGGACTTGAGGTATCAGGCAGGATAGAATTTGGAGACTTCTAGAATTGCATAGCTAGAAGGGTTTTTAGAAACTACTTAGTCACATTTCCTCATAGTACACAAGGGCAAGCTGAGGCCCAGAGAGAGATAGATGCTTATCCAAAGTTACATAGCAGTGTTCGAGCTGGGCCTGGAGGCCTGGAATGAAGGCTTTTAGATGCTATACTGCCTTCTTGCCTTATTAAACCATCAGCCACAAATGAAACTATCAACATCCTACCTAGGCATACTTGATATGGTTTAAGAGATGTTATCCTAAGGTTAGATAATAGACCCTGACTGCCTGAAAAAGAATTCTCCCATTTGCCAGCTGCTTCCAGAGAAGCCTTTCCCAGTACTTCAGAGCCTTGCTCTTCTCTACAAGGGAAGGACTGAATTTCCTTCAAATACTGTCTCCCCTCAGGGAAAAAAAAAAACAGAGCTGTGCATTAACTCAAGGGGCTTTGTTGAAAAGGGTTTGATTTGGAAAAGAACACAGTACCATGTGCCACTCTAGTCTTAGGGTTGGACTTAGAAAAGCAAAAGTCTTAGGCCTAAATAATTGCCCTAAAACAAAAGCCTAGTTTTCTGGGTATAGGGCCCTTTATAGGATCCATTCTGGGTCTGTTTTTTAATCTTCCTCCTCCCACCATTACAGAGAGGGTAAGATCTTTCCATGACTCCACACCCCTATGTCTGGCCTTTCTCCCTCTCTTGAGCTACTTCCCGCATAAAGGTTTAGCTTAGGTAAAGATGTTTATAAAATGTTTATGTTTATAAAATGCAAATAATAGGGTTTATTTTTATTATGATTATTCCAACATGTGTTTTAGACCTAACAGCTGATTCTGGCCCCTAGAGGGTTTTTAGAAGTGAAGCTACAGTCCTACAGAGCTGTCCAGCTGTCAGGGCCTTTTGAGGCTAACCAGGCTGATCTCTTCACTGTACTTCTGGGCTGGAGACACAGATCCAGGGAAAGGGATGGTGTTATTGGCCATTCAGTATATCCCTACCTTCAGGTCTCTATTGTAAGACCCTCCACACAAATGGAAGACCTGCTTTCACGTCTAGAGGACCTCACAGGCTGGGAAGGAATGTGTGAGAGTACACATGCATACATATACATGATTTAAATTTAATGTTTGCAAAATGTTCCCTTGAGCCCCAGTCCTGCCTCAACAAGTCCCAGCTCAAACCATGATATTTGGAGAAGATAGAGAAGTATACTCTAAAACATGCTAGAGAATGAAAATACTGTAGCTTTAGAAAGAACACTATTTTTTAAGGAGCATTAACTGCCATTAATGCTCTGTGGCTTTGAGCAAATTCTTTTCTCTCTGAGATGACTTAATTTAGTATCTCTGCTAGCTTTGAGGTTCTAGCAGTGGATGGGTCACAGAGTTCCAGGATAGGGTAGCCTAATCTGAGTTATCTATGGAAAGCTCTGTTCTTTCTGACTACACAAGAGACACCATGAACTCCCATCCAATCTCCAAGTATATGGAACAAACAGAGGTGCAGCAAGAACTCCCTTGCCCTATTTTTTATTTTACTTAACTATTATTCAGGCTTAGTTTCCTAAAAATCTGTTTCAGTTCTCAGGGGTATAAGTGAGGATGGATGAAGACCCAAGGAAATAATGGTATTATGGGATACTCTGACCTCTTTTGGCATATGTGTCTAGCATTATACCTTCAGGAATAGCCCAGAAAATCTGTGCCATGACCATAGGGAAGTTAGTTACCCCAGAAGGTGGTAAAACAAAAAAACAAACAAACCCGTCCCCACCAGTTCCTGTGAATACCAGTCGAAGGAGCTGGGGCTGTTTAGTTTTGAGAATAGGAGTCAAGGGTGCCTATCCTCAGAACTCTAAAGGGTTCTTATAGCATATAGGGAGCATATATGTTCTGTGTGTCTCTAAGAAACAGAGCTGGGGCCTTTGGATGGAAGCCATAGGGAAGTGGATTTAATTTAACACAAGGAAGAACATTCCAGCAGTTGAAGTTGCCCCTAGATAGATTAGATGGTCTGGGAGGTAATGATCTCTCAGTCACTGGAAGTATGTGAACAGATACTCTGAGCACTTGTTTATAACAGTGAAGGGTGGGTCTAGGTTACTTCTAAAGTCCTGTCTAGCTCTTAGACAACATTCCTTCTTTGACGGATGCATATTTTAATGGATATCAAAGCTTAGAAGCAGAAGAGTTAAGGTATAATGGTAGAATTTTAGGTGAAAGATAGAAAATAGAAGAGGGATTTGGGTGACATTAGGCACCTTTTTAATGTCCCTGAGATATGACAAGTACTAGAAAAACATGTGGATGTTTTCTGAGAGAGAAGCATTTACAATGTCTACCCAAATTTACCTCTGGTTCCTTCAGCAGCCTTCTACTTCCTCCCTTCCTTCTGCCCAAAGCTGAGAGAGTCTGCAGCATTGGCTGAGAACACTCATCTACTCAGCAGTAATCAGTTTTCCTCAGTAGGAATTCAGTCCCAATCCCCCAGCCTTTTGCTTGTGCCAGCAGTGGCAACTAGGCCCCCATTTGCTGCCTTACCATAGGTGACCACTGTTAGGTGGTCCAGGAGCAGCAGGCCAAGTAAGAGCCCCATCACAGCCAGAGCCACTTCTGTCCTTTCTTCCAGCCTTCTGTTGTCAAAGAGGCTTGAACTCCTGATGGCTGCCAGTGCCTGTGCCTGCTTCCTTCCCTTTCTTCCCTATATCTTTCTCAGACTGCCAGTGCCATCTCACATTCCTCTTCCTTCCCTATTTCAGCACAAATCGCATGAGCACCCTCTTCCCTCCCCTTCTTGGGGTTGGTGCTTTGAGGGTGAGTGAAGCAATTCTTCCCCTTGCTAGAGTATTGACTTGACTTTCCCTTGAGCCAGTAGGGCTCTCTGGTCTTTGATCTCTTAGGCTGTGTTTGTTTTGGATTTCCTCCATAAGACTCAGAGGTTTGGGAGCGACCTTTGGGATGAGTCTGCTCTCTCCCTCATGGGGGTGTTTTCCTGCCTGGTGGGGTTAGGGAGAAGAGATCAACTTCACTGGCCTATGCAATATCCAGCAATCATACTGTTAACCCCTGCCTGCTCATCCTCTGCACTTGAACAGTGTTGGAGGGTGGGTGCCTGTGGAGTTCACAGTAGAAGAGATTAAATGTATGAAACAGCTTTCTAAACAACAAAGCTTAAATTGGCAAGCCCATGGATAAGGCTGCTATGGGGAATATGTCCCTTTATCTCATTTTGGGAATGCTCTTTGAATCACTTTCTCCAATAGCTCCACCTCCTTCATGGTAAGAATTCCCATTAGTGTCCATAAAGGCCTTATTATTTATTTCTTTTAAGGCAAAGTCTAGTATCCAGTATATTTGCTTATTGACCTGATAGTGGTGTAATCTACCAGGTTAAACTTTTCAACAACTTTCAATTGGTACATAACCATGACTTGAAAGGGAATAACATTAAGCCTCCTAGAAAGCTTAATTGCTTCTCTTTCCAAGCCTCAGAGTGACTGTAATTCTACCAGCAGTCTTATTTGTAGTTTTGACACTGCTCACAGTCTACTAAGCCTTGAAAATGTAAAGACCTCCAAAAGGAGAAATGCATCCCACAAATTCATACTGAACACTGCAAGCAACATCTAAGCTTAGCTTTCTTTTCGAATGGAGAGACAAGACAGGCCTTGGTTGGAGGAGGGGTGAGCTTTGCAGAGAGAGGGTGTAGGACTCCAAAGACAGAAATTATCTCCTCCAATGACATTCTTTCCAAAGAGAAGTTACATACAGATGATTTGGGGGTGTGCAAGGGCTAAGAGGAGACTCCAGTACTTCTGGCCCTGCTGTTATCACATGGAGTTCAAGCCCCTGTGATTCCAAAATTCAATTCCCCTTGTCTTGTTGTCCTTTGTTTTTAGCTACTTCATTTTGTCCACTCACTGGAACTTCTAGTCATTCTTTCCCATTGGTTCCTCACTCAGGGAATTCTGTGCTTTGAGGAATCCTCCTTTTGTATTTTCAACAAACACCCTACCATCACTACCACCATATGTTTACAAACACCTACACACACACCTTCCCTTATACAGTCTTTCCTGATAAAGAGCTAGAAGCCCATGCCTATTGGACTGGTGTCATTTTCTGTCTGGCCTAGCGACTGAATTTTTTGAACTGCCTCTTTCCTCTTGTTAGGACCTCCTAGATCTGAAGATAAGGTAATGTCCTGGAAACATGCACAGCATTTCTCTGGGGAAGACTTTTAGTTCTGCAATGGGCTCAGTAGCCCTGTTGAACAAGAAGGGCATTAAAGGGGAAGTCAGAAAGCCCAGAAAAGGTTCTGGACTCTGCACCTACGTTGTTTTGAGACTGTGGGCAAGTTAAGTATCTCTGAATATCAGCTTCCCCAACTGTTACATGAGCATCATTAGACTTGATGTCTTTTCAGATTAATAAAAAATAAGACCCCTCTATACATACAATACCAGCTATAGCATTGATAGCTACTATTTCTTAATCTTTTACTTCCCCAGACACTGTACTAGACACTACACGACGATTATTTCATTTGGTACTTACAACCCTGCAAGTGGACTCTTACTCTTGTACCTCTTCTGTCAATCTTTACTCTTTTACACTGCTTCTTTTTTTCTTTGTGGAACTCACCACTACTTGGCATATTGTATAGTTACTGGTTTACTTGTTTGTTGTCTGTCTCCCACTCTAGAATGTAAGCCCTATAAAGACAGGGATTTTTGTATTTCATGTTCATTGCTATATCCCTAGTGCCTAGAAAAGTGTCTGACATATAATAGACACTCAAACACTTTTTTAAAATGAGTGAATTGAATAAATCACCATTTTATAAATGAGACTGAGTTTCAGAATAGTGAAATCTCTTACCTGTATAGAAGGTTCCTGGACAAGATCCAAACCCATATCTGTGTGCCTCCAAAATGATACTGTTAGGCACCACACTATTCTGCTTCCTTCATACCTTTAATGACCACTTATTTCCAGACTTCTGAGTGTTGTCAGGAATAGAGAATAAATGCTAGACATTATTTATGGCTTAGTGAGATTTTATACAGATAGAGACAAGATACATGTGTATAGACATACCAATGGGCACACATACATGTACACACTGATACAAGGTGGATTATTAAATGGGCTTTAAACCTTATGGTTTGGAAAACATCTAGTAACTAGTGTGGAAAGACTTCCTAGAAGAAGTGATATGAAAACCAGCATTTATAGAACTCTTGCTCTGTACTGGGCTCATTATACCTAGGCCTCATCTTGCAGTGAAGACATTATGAATCTCTTTTTCTGGCTAAAGAAATTGAATTTTAGAGACACTAAAGGACTGGCGCATGATCACATAGCTGGTAAGTGTCAAAGGAGATTTCCAACTAAGTTTGGTCTGTTTCCAAAGCCTGTGAATGTCTCCTCCATTCTCTAGGGCTGTACTTGAGCTCATTCAATAAAGATGAGGTGATTTAAGAGGAGAGAAGAGGGGGATGCATAGTTGCTTTAATCAAAGGAGATCACTTTTTCCTTATCTTCAAACCTAATGGTTCCTAGTATGGTATTATGCCTGTGGTAAGAGCACAGAGATTGTGGATGAACAGCAGAGAAAACAGCCCACATCCTTTGAAGCCCAGTATCCAGAGGTCACTGTGACTCTGTGCCTACTTCCACCTTTGTAGCCCACTTTCTTAGAAAAAGGTTGAAAGGGCAGATTAGAATAATTCATCAGTGAGCAAACATTTGTTGAGACCGTTATATGCATGTGGGCATATAGGCTTGGCTGAGCTGGAGGGAAACAGTGGTACAAAGATGAAATCCACAAGGTCCTGCTTGAAAACATGCATATATACAAACCCACAAACCCACAAATACTACATAGAAATGTAGATGCACAGATACATATGGACACTCAAAAACACACATACACACATGGAAATATACAAATGTGTAAAAAATGGCCAGAGGCATAAAATATTAGCACATTGGCACACATCACACACAATATACATGGAGAGAAACAGCACGTAGATACACAAATGATTCACACAGACACAAAAATATACACAGACATGTACAAGGACACATAAACATTGAAACACAGATCCATAAATTCAAGAACATGAGCAGACAATAGCTGCATATAAGCATATAAACACTCTTATAAACACACAGATTCACACACATAAACAATAACCCAAAGATACATGAAAACGTAGGCAGATGTGTTTAAAAGCAAACTAACAATAACAGGCGTCACATACTAAGGGACAGGGGAATGACAGAAACTCATTTGTACAATGGAAGTGCAGAGATAGTAACAAACACCATGTACTTCATTGGTTTAAGAGATTCCCAGAGCAGCTGGAGTGTGTGCTGGGACCTGAGATTTGATTAATATTGGCTAAGCAAAGTGGATAGGGTAGGGAAGGAATTCCAGGTATGATGTAGGGAGAGAGAGCAAAAGCCCAGAAACAGCAAGGGCAAGAATTCTGGTAAAGAGGGAGAAAAATCATTAGATTTCAGCTTTGTGTACATGTAGAAAGGCATGGAGAGAAAAAACTTTGCCAGTATGTGAAGGGTTTTGAAAATCAAGCAAAGATGCTTAAATTTGATACTATAGGCTTTTATGGGATCCATAGAAGGTTTTACAGTAGAACTGAGGCCTGCTGTTGCTGTTGAAAAGTATTTTAGGGCCAAATATGTTGGTAGAATACCAGTGGAATAGGGTAGGGAAATTGGAGGCGGAGGAATGGGAGACTAATAAAACCATTGGCAGCATAACACAGTGGAAAGAGCTTTGGAATGGACATTAGAAGTATTTGGTCCATTCCCTTCTCTGGCTCTCAGGCCTCCTATCTCTACCTTAAAGATGTGATAGTCAGCCATGTATTTTTTTATTTTGTTATCATTAATCTACAATTACATGAAGAACATTATGTTTACTAGGCTCTCCACTACCACAAGTCCACCCCACAAACCCCATTACAGTCACTGTCCAATAGCATAGTAAGGTGTTGTAGAATCACTACTTGTCTTCTCTGTGTTGCACAGCCCTCCCCTTTCCCCCACCCCCCAAATTATACATGATAATCATAATACCCCCTTTCTTCTTCCCCACTCTTATCCCTCCCTACCCTCCCATTCTCCCCAGTCTCTTTCCCTTTGGTAACTGTTAGTCCATTCTTGGGTTCTGTGATTCTGCTGCTGTTTTGTTCCTTCAGTTTTTCCTTTGTTCTTATACTCCACAGATGAGTGAAATCATTTGGTATTTATTTGTCTTTCTCCGCTTGGCTTATTTCACTGAGTATAATACCCTTTAGCTCCATCCATGTTGTTGCAAATGGTAGGATTTTTTTCTTCTTATGGCTGAATAAGCCATGTATTTTTAAACCATGTCCTGGAGATCCCTGAGGGTCCTGTAGGGGTGTGATTGTAGGAGGAATCAGGAGACAATGAGGAGAGGGAGGTCTAGGGGTCTATTTCTCCAGTGGGCTGCTAGAGAGCCAACTTAAGTCCCAAGAGCTGATTGTGTACATTTCTTCCCAAATCCTTGTTCAGTGACATCATATTGATAACTCAAAATCAGTCATGGTAGAAATACTCTCGCCACAAAAGTCAGCAAATGCCATAAGCCATGGCCTTTCTTTTTTCCCTTCAGAGAGATGGTTTTTAAGCATTTACCCATATGCTCCTCACTTCAACATTCTAAACCCATGTTAATCAGAAATCAGAACAACTATGGT